ACCGGAGAGGGGAAAATGGCTTCGGGAGGGCTAGTAGCCTGGATGAAGGTGGAGAGGCTGCCTGATCAGGAGGGATCATAGAGGGGTCCTATTTAGGAGATTCTGGGGCCCAGCATGGGGGCTGGAAGAGATGAACACCGAGATGCCATCTGCGAGGCTTGGGCTGCGGTATTAGGGGAGGTTGGAGCCGCAGAGTGCCCCCTGGCATCGGGGCATTAAAATGGGTAACCTCCCGCTTAATTAACATCTTAATTGAATTTATTATCATCAAAGGCGTGGCGGGCGAGTAGGCGGGCGGTTGGCCCACAGAGACAGGGGGCGGGCCACGAAGAGCTCGGCCCTGAGTAGGCCTCCTGTCACGGTGACAGGCGGGCGGGCCACAGAGCTCGGCCCCAGGAGGCCCCCTGTCACGCTTGGTATTTCTCGGAAGAGAATTGCCTTGCCTTGGCTTTGGTTTGGCAAATGACAGAACGTTGCACCAAATGCATTTTGTAGAAAAGGGCTGAAAATCACCAGGACTGGAGTTAATCAGACTCCCTGTTCATGTGTATGTAGCAAATTAAGTGCCTAATGCTTTATTTCAGAAACTTCAGATTGAACAGATCTTTAGCACCAGTTCTTGAGCCAAGTAGACTACTTAGCTTCAGAGTTTTCTTTATTCTGTCTTAAGTGAAACGTTCAAAAGTCAGTAAATTTCAAAGACTAGCATCGTTCAATCTGTTAACCCGCCTATCTTGTAAAGCCATAGGGGCTGACCTTTTCAGTTGCGTGCCATAATTAAACCCTGTGCCCTCCCCGTGCCACTCTGATCTCCTTTCCCTGCCTGATCTGCTGCTCTGCTTTCTGCTGCCTGCCCCCCCGATCTGCTGCGTAGCTGTGCATGCACACAGGCTGTGCATGCCCCTTGTGTCACCCATGCCGCAGGTTGCCCACCCCTGTTGTAAAGAACAGAAACATTCAAAGAGGCATCTTAAATGTAAACCATATTGTAACTTTTAACTATATACTGTTAGAGAGATGGGATGTTGCCATGTTGCATATTCGGGATTGTATAATAACAATTTCTGCAATTATTTAATATTTGATAACCAAACAACAGTAATCTACTAATTGAGGAAATCTTGAAGGAATAGTCTTTCAAAGTAATGGATTTTTCTCTGCCAATGGATTTCTATTCTCCCAGCCAATTACCTGAACATATGTTTTTAAATTAGCATATAGTTTCTAAAAAATTAGGTTGCTCCTTGGTGTCCTTTAAGCAGCTTCTGAGGTAGAAGTCTTCTCTTTGATGCCAAGACTTAAGTTCTTCTGAGAGCAATATTTCTTTAGAGCAGACCATTATATGGTACAATTTCTTTAGCCTCTTCTGAAATGTATGGTGGCTCTCAGCTCTTTAGGTAGGTTTTGTTTGCCAGAGTCATGTGGTAGGTCTCCAGCCAAGTGCTTATAACATAACAAGAGATGTGCGCCTTTTGATCTGCAAATGCTGACATGGGACATCCTAGAAAACATCAGCTGATTTGAGAGATGTGGTACTAAAGCAATTCTGTTTCAAAGTGGAAATCTTTCAGACTGTTAAGAGTTTCAGTGGTATCAGTG